TGCGCTATACTTAAAATGCAAATTAAAATATTTGTACTTACAATTATGAACGTTAGGTAAGAAAAACAAAACCACGCTTCCTATCCTCCCCTCTTTCTCTCTCTCTCTCTCTCTCTCTCTCTCTCTCTTTGTTCTTCTCTCTCTCTCTCTCTCTCTCTCCCCTCTCTCTCTCTATGTAGTTTCAAGCTCCACAATGAGAATTTGAAATTGAGGGGTGTGGGCGGGGACCTTCCAGGTTTCAAGTACAACCAAGACTGCCAGGCCACGAATTATTTACTGCTTCTAAAATCATTGGTTTCTAAGAGGAGTATTCATCTTTCTTTCTCTTTTTTTTTTTTTTTTTTTTTTTTTTTGGGGGGGGGGGGGGGTTGGAGCCTCCACCCTCCCCCCCCCCCCTGGACACGCTAGTGAAACCTTTACCTAACATTAATTCTTTGCAACAAAATATTCACCTTGACTGTCTAATATTATTCAAAGAACAAGTCTTTTAATAATATTCTTGTCAGATGTCTGCTTTCTCCGGTCTCTGAATGTCAATCAGGTTTTGGGCAAATGCCAAATAAATGAAATGTTGTCATTAGCATTTAATAACAATGAACAAAATATGACAAGGGTATTGTTGTCATGTGATGACTCAATAGTTGCTTCTAACTGTCATGGAAACGAAAATATTAATATGTTTTGTAGTGATGACAGGTCATTAATAAAAGTTGTTATTATATCATTTAAAACCAAATAAGAATCTAGATTTCAAGCTTTGTGCAAATCGTAAATGCAATGATTAGTTCGTGTGGCATTTTGCAAAATGCACTGTAAATATATTTTATTTCAAATATATTTGATGCATGTTGGGTTTGTTCTGGAACAAAAAGACATAATTACATAACCAAATCAGACTAAAGGGCCTTATCTATTTCAAAATGAACCAATGAAATTCGATACTTATATGACTATGATATGTTTACATTACCCAATGTTCCAAATAGATATATCACCAATTTACATGATAATCCCAAAACTGGATATTACATAAAGCATTGTTAAGTTGGTTTTCTTTTTTGAGCTTACATCAATCTGTTGAGAATCAAAAAGGCTTTTTGTCGATAGACATTGCTTTTTTTCAATGTTATCAGTGTTTAGCTCTCTGGTATGAATACAGATGTAATAATGTTACAGCTGAAATGGTATACCATTCTGGAAATCTAGATAGGCGAGGGAAGGGGGAGGCTAACTTCATAATTCAGACTGACATGGTAGAACCTGTGATATCACTTGAACCACAATACTTGTCATTATAAAGAGGAAAAACACAATCTGGGCCCCCAAAATGGTATTTAATCTGGAATTGTTTGACCTAACGATGTTACCATTCACATAATGTTTACTAGATCATCCCCCGCATGAAAAATCGAACAAATTCACAGGGAAAACACCGCAACAACACGACGTGTGTAGAATTAATCATAAATATTGTTTACCACCGTTAATACCCTCGCAAACATCTGGTAAATGGTTCATTCTTTCCATGTGTAAGCTGCTTTATTTATTTTTTCTCTTTGGGGATTACTATACAGATCTTCGACAAAGATCAATACATTATGTGTTCTTTAAAAAAAAGGACTTGGATGGAAGAGAGGAAATGGTGAGGTAGAGGGAAGGAGAAAGAGAGAAAAGAAGAAAGAGAGAAGGACAGAAAGGGAGGTGTGTGTGTGGGGGGGGGGGGAGGGGGTCACTGCGTAAGAATTTTGTCAATTTTCTCCCCCCCCCCCCCCCCTCCCACCCCCTCCGCTCCCTGGACACGCGACCATTCAAATAGCCAAGCGGCGCCCCTGGGGAGAGATTGGAAAATTGTTTAATAATGCAGAGAAGAGGAAAGAAGTGAAGAGTCTGTTCAAGCCATCGATTCATATTTTCTTCCTCCTCATATTATAACATCATCATCACGATATTACTTTCTTCCGGACTTGGACTCTGACTTCAATCAAGTTTGGTCTACCAAGAAATGTTTACTGGGTGAACCGCCAATTACTCATAGAGCACCTCGTCATACTCTTACTGTGTCTACGAATATTATCTAAGATACTTTACCTTCCTTCAAAACTGTAATCTATCTTTCTTTCTGTCTTCTTCTCGGATTCCTCTTCATCTTCCTTCTTTCTTCTCAGACATGTTCTTCCACCTAAAAAATAGTTAGGGAGATATAAACAGAAGTTCAGTTGCGCTTAATGATCTTGGAAAAAAACAATATTAGGCCTAACTAATATATCCTACCTTCCTTCAATAATGAAGTCTATCTTTCTGTCTGCGTTTCCGTTTATACAGTATAATAACGTTTTATTTACCCCAGGGTAGCCACTTCAGTTATGAAACTGCTCTTCCAGCAGGCCCTGCATAACATAATATGTTATTACTACCCTAGTCCAATATAATATGCTGAGCGCCTAGCTAGAAGGCAGAAGGTCCCAATGTTATAAGTCTTTGGAATTACTCGGCCGGGGTTCGAACCCACGACCTCCCATTCATGAGGCGGGCAGGCGCTCTAACCACTGAGCCACCATGCCCGGTTTCACCTCTTCCTCCAGCTCTTTCGTCTTCTTCTCCTCCTTGTTCTGTATCCTGATGATAATGATATCGGCTATTTACGGGAGACAAAAGGAAAAAATTAGAGGGCTTGCAGAATTTGAGAGAGAAATCAAAGATATCGAAATGGTTACAGTACATTTTAATTTCCTTTTTCATCTATTTTTACTCATTCTTTTTCTTCCTGATGTGACTCTCCTTTTCCCGATCTCCCTCTCCTCCTCCCCACCCTTTTAATGTTATTTCTTGTATTGAACGTATAGTCACACTCACATGATGCTCTGTTTAACGCAAATCTTCAATTAGGGGTCACAACCTAGGACATGGAATTTACCCAGGTACATGGATAATGTTATTGGTTTTTGTATCATGACGTGAAACATTTCAATATTACAAATGTGCAAATACATGTACAATACAAAGTAATTGAGTGCAGACGGTCGTATGTATGTAGAAATGGCCAGGCTTTGCGGTTCTGAAACGGTGATGGCGCTGTGCAGGCATATTTTACGGAGCAATCTTTCCAGTAACACTGATATTGTACAGACGATTCTGAAGTTATTCTTCATGAAATCGTGGATTTTATATGACCAAAATAAAGTGTTGAAATAATTATCTAAAATTAAGATTTGAATCTTCTCCAGTTCCATATTCAGTCCTCTCCTGGTCTCTAATCTAGAGTATTACATGTTCTTTGATTTAATTTCGTTAACAAAAACATCAACTTTTTGCAACCCCTTTCCTGCCCATGTACTACAGTATCCTATATTGAGTTTAAGTAACCCCGCGTTCTACTAATCTTCTGCTAATAGCCCTTGGGTCGTTCAGTGCTCCTAGTCTACCCCATCCCCCTGTCATCCATCTTCCGGCTCGCATCCCATGATGAGTATGACGTATGACCCATCCAAGTCGGAATGTTGGTCATCCTCCAGCCCGAGAGGAGAAGGCTCTCATTGTACGGAGGACCGCAAATTATCTATCCTGATACCTTGAAACATCAGAATGCATATTTCGATGTATCATTTCTCGCTTTCAAATATTTCGCCATCTCTTCCGGTGCAATACGTCATCTCGCCGCTGTGTCAAATGGAAATGCAAAAATAATTCGAATGAAACATGTTCGCGAAGAATGTCCTTTGATGAGCTAAGAGATAAACTTCAGCATAATATCGTCCTTGTTTTCACGAAGTGACGGTAGTGAGGAAAATCGTAACGAAAAGTGAATGCAATTTTTTTTCCACTACCGTCACTTCGTGAAAACAGCGACGATATATCCATATTCATTCATTTGATTTAGATTCAATGTGTTATAATAATACTAGTATTTGTTTTATTTTGTTTTATGTTTTATTGTATTTGTTTGTTTGTTTGTTTGTTTGCTTACTTGCTTTTTGTTCTGCTCGGATAATTGATGTTTCATAATAGTACCAAAACAAATATAAAGTTGTTATTAAGTTCTGATAACTGAAAACCCTTTTGGACGATCGAATGGTGTCGTCGTTAACTTTGTTATTGTTGTGGTTGATAGTGGTAATGGTGTTTCGAAGATATCATCTTGTTAGCTATTGTTTAGAAGTCATGAGCATTCATCTGGCGTACATCCACACATTTTAAAGTAGTAATAGTTTTTGGTTTTAGTTTTGGTTCTGGAGTCATTTTGATTAACCCCTCGGATTCATAATTCCAATTAAAAGAGAGTGAAAACAACTTCCTTTAATAATTCCGAAGATGGAATTAATGTTTTACATTTTAAATATGAAATAATGATAGTTCGTAATTCCGAAAATAAACTAAAAGGGAACTCTATTGTTTTTTTCTCGAATTCGGTAACTCTATTTTATTTACGGAGTTATGACCCTTCATAACAGACTACTGGTAACAGCAATCCTTTTCATATTTTGTCATCATGCTTCTCTATTGTACTCCCGATTGTATGACATATTTCTTCTATTGGCACTCTCTCTCTCTCTTTTCTATTTTCTCTCCCTTCCCTACCGCTTAAATACCAAATTTTCTATCAAATCTCTCTCTATCTCTCCCTCCTCTTTCTCTTTATCGTTCTTTTCACATTATTTCTTTCTTTTACTCCTCCCTCTCCCTCTCATTCTTTCCTTTTCGTTCTCCCTCCTCTTTTCATATCTATTTTTTTCTCTCTTCTAAATTTTCTTTTATCAGACCTCTCTATCTCTTTCTCCCCCTCTCTCTCTCTTTCCCTCTTTCCTTTTCTCCTTGTTGTTCTTCTTTCTTTTTTCCCTCCCTATATCCCTCTCTTTCTTTTCTTCCTTTTCTTTCTCCCCTCTCTCCTTCTTCTCTCTCACTCTCTTCACTTTCTTTTTTTTGCTTCAATACTTCCACTACCCTCTCTACTTTCAATTTAGAGCAATCCTAAATTTGAGGAAATTATGACTCAAACTCATGAATTTTGATTAATGCAAATCATGATTTACATCATCACCAGCTCAATAAACAAAGAAATTGTTTTTGTACTGCGAGAAATAAAAACAATCAGCTCAATTAAATGAAATCAAAATAAGATTATGACTGTTTTAAGAACTTGAAGAGGGAGAAAGAGGACAAAAAAGAAATCTGGGGCAAAAAAAAAATAAAAAAATCGCCACAGTTGGACATCAACCACAATCTCAATGGTGCGGCAATTCACACCATGTGTGTACACAGCCACAGGCAATTGACACTTGACTATTTATAAATGCCAAAATGGACATGTTCCATACATTACAGGTGAGAAAATAAATTCATATTTATATTAATAAATTATGCCCTGTTACATTGCAAGTGCGTCATTTTATCAAAAGACTTTTCAAGTTCCTTCTGAATCATCAAATCTCAAGTGACAAATGTGAAGCGTCGAGCGTTAATCAATGCAAGTAAAACATAATTAATAACTGCATGTTTCCTTTGATATGACAGCAAAGAAAAGAAATGAGATGAAATTGGTTTGATCATCAATCTGAATCATCAGTAGAATGATGTAGGCATTCATGAGTGCATATCTACAAGGATGCGTTTTATAGTTTTGCTGGTCTAAACAACTAATTAATGCATGGTAAAATATTCAGAATGCCTTGTACACTATTAATCATAAAATGAGATTCCATTACATAAACTAAAGATAACCTTTATCTTGTATAACCTGAAAAATTAGGATTGTAAGTAACTAATGACATAAAAAGATATAAAAAGGGCTTTAAAAATTGCTCCAGTTTTAGCATTTCTGTCATGATATAATAACATTTTAAACAGCTAATATAAAAAAGAGCGTATGACTGCATCAAAATTTTCTAACCTAGTGTTTCATTTGGTGAGGTTCTTTGCACAATGCAATATTTTAGGTCCTACATTGGGTAGTGAAGATATCTACAATATGGGAACTTGATGATTTTTGCTGAGGAAAATCAGGAAATGAATCCTTCACTCGTGCTTCAGCAAGATCTTTCCTTTTTATTTGACACTGGGTATCATTCAGGAAACATGTATAATACTCATATGGTATAGGCAAAAAACAAAAAACCACTCCTGCAAATGCACATCAATCTTTATGAATAAGGGACACAAAATAACTTTAATAACCATCTGACGTATCCAATATATATGATTCAATGCATCTGATGTCTCTAGCACTTTACAGATATATTGTTACCCCAATCATTGGAATCAGGCTTGCCTGCACACACTGTGTGCACATTCTCCACTCCCTGGTAAGCAATACAGCCAGGTGCGATTATAAAGAGATGCAAATTACTAATCCAACCACAGTGGTGTTCATATCCACTTGGGTGGGTGGAACCATTGCAAATGAAATGCCTTGCTTAAGGATACGACAAGCTTGTGAAACAAGAACTTATCTGTCAGTTAACAATAAACAGACAAAATCGCTCAAATGGAGTCCCTCTTTTAATAAATCAGTCTCGTATTACCGTCATATTTTCCTCATGAAAAATGCAGGAAGCAGATAAAATAGAAAAGCTGCTCAGTTAATAATACCCATATGTACTATAAATAAATAAGCTTTATGTACAATATACATTTTCTGTACAAACACACATACATCTACCTGATAAAAACAACAAATAGTCATCCAACTGGACATCAGTACATCATTAGAGTACAAAGCTTCTCAAAACACACACTACAAATTTTCAATCAACAATAAAAAAAAAAATTAAAAAATAGCTGTAACTATCTACAATAAGAATGCAACACTTCATCTTCAACAAAATAAGATTTCACCTTGTACCTAAATAGTAAACCAGATTCATAAAGTCTAAGCAAACTGAAAAAGGAAGAATTATTGCTGTTTACACCATGTTTTAGGCAACTTTGCATCATCCAATACAAGCTTTTGTAACTACATGTATAAAATAGTGTGTATCTACTTCAGTGTAACCTACATGTATCTGTTTGGATTCTTTTTAGATTTTACAGAATGGTAACCTAGTAAAAAAAACAACAACCAAGTAGTACCTCGTGTACCCCTTGACATTACCAAAAAGTTATATTTATAAGAAATTTCCTCATACGTGATTAAAATAGCAAAACCCTAAGAAAATAGGGTAGTCACTTTATTACGACATATCATTATGCAATGAGATACATGATTTATAAATTATGGCATTGCCTTGGAAGACAAATGCACCAATATACTGGGTTCTCACAATTTTATATTCACTGATTCATTCATATATACTGTATATCTTTTTTTTTATGTCCAAAGGGGGAAGGAATCTCAGCAAAGTTACATACGCTAGTCACTTACTTAATATAAGACATCACAGCTTGAAATTGTACAACTGTGTATAGAATTTTGATAATCGTAAGAAAATCTATGATATTAAAGCATATAGATGGAATTATCCAAATTATATCTAGTACTAGCGCACAAATTATCTAAACAGGAGTGCACACTCTAAGGGGGTGTTTATGCTCAACTTTTTCTGGCCAGAATCAGGCATCTGTTACGCGTTTAGTTTAAAACACGGTTGCGTCCTTTCTCACTTTTGTAGAATCACTGAAAAATGGCAATCACGATCGCCTCTAGTGGGTCTACGTAGCATGCACAGCGCAGGTTTGCGAATCCAGCTGCAAGACCAATTAGGGCCACCCAGCAAGAATTGCCTGGAGGAGCCAGAGAAGTGAGCATAAACAGTACACCGTGGAATTGCGATTACGATGAGCAATTATGATGAGCGTTTCATATCGCTCATTCTGCCTTCAAAGTTGAGCTTAAACGCAGCCAAAAATTATTCTAGGACAATGGGAAACTTTGTAGTCATATCCAAACCTAGCACAATCGCCACACAATGGTGATTCATGTCAGTACATTTTTGAAACACTAGGACCATCCTACAAGGATGTATGTGCAAAGCTTGTGTCGCTAAAAACTAAGGAAATATACAAATATATCAATATATTTATTTCAGCTGTCTATTGTTACACACAAATATTTCACCCTAAAAATACAGCAATCCATATAAAAAACACCGTTATATAATAATAATCAGAAAAAACATCCACACTTTAGGCATTGTATTGTTTTCTTTGATTACACAACTAGATCGGAGGGAAAAAGACAAGATATAATCCATATAATTTCTTCTCTTCTGAATCGAATTGAGAGCTTAATCAACAGTCACTTTGAAGTACTAATAAGCCTTTGTGAGTTTTCTCTTTTAACGTTAAATATTTGCCTAATTTTAAGAGAAATAATTTTCATTTTAAGAGTTATGAGAGGATCATTAAAAATGTTGAGAAAGATAGCTCACTTGGTTACAGTTCACTTTTTTAAAATGATTTTGTGGGACTTCATCCAGAAATTTAAATGGTATTTGTAAGAGCAGGTAACAAATATGAATCATAAAGCTCCTCCAATGATCAAATACATGTTTCTTTAATTTTACAATGTTAATATTTAAAAATATGCAGCTACTAAGTTTTGAAACACTGATCAGGATTATGATTTCAATACAGAAGTTTAAAAAATCAAGGGTTTTTAAAAAGAAGTTTTTTGTGTGTGTGTGTGGAGGGGGAGGAGGGGGGGGGGGTTGTTGTATTTGATAAAAACAGAGTTCAACGACATCAAACTTTTCTGCAACCAATTTTGATTCAATTTCAGAGTGGAAAGACAAGTTTCACCAACTGTAAAACTGGTAGAATTCATTTTTTAATTTGAGCAGTTAAACCACCTAATGGCACTGAGACGGGTAAGTAAGACATAACTAAACTGCTTTCTAAACAAATATTTTTAATCAATCCGTCTGTTTATCTTTCTTCTGTAGAACATCTGAATGTATGCAACACTTATATGAATCTATCATGGAGTATTTACTAACATTTAAAATCATTATTAGCACCTTAGCTGTGTGCAATAAATATTTGTACATTACAAGCACATTCAATTTACAAATTAGCAAAAATTGAAGGAAATCTGTAAATCTTTCAAATCTGTAAGAACCCTCCTTCCTTCATGATTTTGTATGAATTATCATAATTAGAATAGACCAGCAATAAGTAATAATAAAGAAAAGTAAATGCCTTCCTTTCCCCAAACCCCCAAATCAATTTTATTCAAATAATCAGCTAACTTTGCATTCCACCTTAGCATCAGCACCAAAATGCTGCGTCAAGTTGAGTTGCTTGGCAACAGCACGAGCAAGGTATGTCATTGTTCCATAGCGGCCAATGGGGGCAGTATCATAGAAGTGGAGGCATATACCTGCAATGCCGCCACAGGTCAGAGGAAGAGGTGAAGGTCCTCTACGGTCAGGGGTCGCACAGCAGAGAGTAGCATCACCATCATAGGTCACCTGTAGAGGGAGACAAACATTGCATTGTGTAACAGAAAACAAAAAATGACATCATCATAAAACAATACTGTCAAGTGAAGCCCATGAGTGTGTCTATCAAGTATTATGGTGTCTTTTTAATCTCAAAACACTATATATATATATATATATATATATTGTATGATAATTTTTCAAGGTTTTACAAGCAAATAACAAATATAGAAATATCCCCCTGAACTAAAAAAAAAATGGTTTATACTATGCAATATTTTGAGGACATGAAAACATTCAAAACATTTCTTTAAAATATTTCAGAATAACAAATTTATGTAATATTGTTATGCAAGCCTGTAATAGCCCCCCCCCCTTCCTTCCCTAAAAAAAAAAGAGTGTAATGGTAGGTATGGGTTATATGGCTTCTATAGTAGTTAATTAAATGACCTGATAGTTGACTACTAACAAGGGGGCTTCCAAATGAATGTCTTATTTAATACAAGAAATATGAAATTATCTTCACTGTTATCTGGTGCTTGGGAAAGGGCCAAGAAAATGAGTGCACTGAATTTCCTCGTTGTATAAAAAAAGAAGAATGCTTTCAATTATACAGAAGGAATGGAATAAAAGTAATTTAGTATTTTCTGCAACTCTCTTCCACCTAAAAAAAACAAAATTATACAATTCAAAATCATTTGATCAAGTACTGTTTTTATTAAACGGGTATGTTTAGGGTACCGGTATTCAGTTGTTTGGTGTCCCATACTTGTCCAAGTGTTACGGTAATGTGAGCATAGATTGACACCAATGAGTGTCCTTTTACTCCTTCTTTTTTTCTGACTCAAATTACCTAACATCTAGTAGGGCTGGCAAATTAACACAATTACGGGGCATACTAAGGTCGTAGATGTGGTCAATAACATATGGACTGTGACATGCAAAGGGAAGTATGAAAGAGTACACATTGAAGGTCATAGAATATATTTGTGTCTCAATTTAAATTTTAGATGGGGGGAAAATAGTCACTAAAATCATCCACAACAAAAAATGTTCAAAATTATAATCACACTGCCAGCTATCCTATCTAGAGATATATCCTATCCATATTTCCAATTTAACTGTTATTTGTCTGTTGTTGAACAGATCATCATTTTGTTCGGTATGAATTTTGGTATCTTCATTAACTTGTTGAACTCCGTATTACCTTTATATTGATGAGATAAACACGATGCAATAGGATTCATCCACACTCTGAAACTTTAAGGTCTTTCACACCAGAGACAGATCCGTATAAGAACATATGCATGGTGTGAAAAACCCACAGTTTCAATGTTTGGATAATAATAATAATAATAATAATAATAATATGGATATTTATATAGCGCCGGTATCCGCCAGGCTCTGACGCTCATGGCGCTGTACATACATGTATTACTATCACAAAAATATAACTTCTTAACTAAAATAAAGTAAACTAAAACAACACAAATTATAACGCTACATTGACATGATTAGATAGCACTGTTTAGAAAGAGATGGGTTTTTAGAGCAACTTTGAAGGCATGAAGGGTAGTTAAATTACGAATACTAACTGGCAGCTTATTCCAAAGGGACGGACCAGAATGAGAAAATGCTCTATCCCCCCAGGAACTGCGCGTCTTAGGGACAACTAATAAGGAGGATTGAGATGAACGAAGATGTCTTGTAGGCTTATACTTAACAATCAACTTGATATTGTAGGAAGGAGCAGAGTCATACAAGGAATGGAAAACTAGCAACAACAACTTAAAAATAATTCGGTCACATACCGGGAGCCAGTGAAGAGTTTTGAGAATGGGGGTGATGTGGGTTCTACGAGAAGAAAGTGTGACAATACGTGCAGCAGTATTTTGCAGTTTCTGGAGTCGAGAAAGTTGTGTGTTAGGGAGCAGATAGAGAATAGAATTACAGAAATCTAAGCGTGATGAAATAAGAGCATGTACAAGTTTCTCTGTGGTTGAACGACTTAAGTATTTCCTAATAAAACCTAGATTTCTCAGTTGATATCTGACTGACTTACAAATACTAGAAACATGAGTTGACAATGACATAGACGAGTTTAACATGACACCAAGGTTACGACATTGCGAGGAAGGACTAATTACAGAATCTGATATGGATATATTGAACGACTGTATCTTAGCAAGATTTGATTTGGAACCCAATAAAATTAATTCAGTTTTACTATCATTCAGTTTGAGTGAACCTATTAAATGGGGTAGGCCTACATATCATAGAAAACAAGTGTATAACATATCTTAATTTGGAGAAAAGGGGGCAATTGTTTGCAATTCTCCTGCAATTAAAGATATTCACATGGCAGATTGACCTACTGACCTGATAAAGCATCCAATAGTGGAATGCTGTACAGCTTTCTAATGCCCATACCTACTTTGCACTAAAAGATAGTGCATCATTCTTACTTCAGAGAATACATGATTTACGAGATCATTTAAATGAGAACAGAATAGTCTTTATAACAAGGACTCATTCACAACATGAATGACAGTTCCATTTCACTTAGTCTTGTAAATTGCAATGTACAATATATTCTTTCTTAAAATAAAATGCAAAGTGTTATTCTTCATCCTTTTTTTAAATAATGAAATATTAAAATCATTGTACATGTATATTAGACGTGAATGATTATACTTAAATATAGGCCAACCTTAAAAAGATATTTGCAGTTTATGAATCCAGAGAATTACATTTCTAATTGTTAACACTGCGCGCACAAAATGCGAACAGTGTGAATGAAACCCATGAGAGTAGATTGTGTCAATGTATCAAATATTTTAATCTATAAGACATGATATGAGAAATGACCTTCTGTGATTGGCTTGTGATTGGTATTCCATCAGTGTTGAGCACAAGGGGATAGATTAAGTAAAGGATGAGATTTAAAAAAATAATAATAATAGAAAACAGAAAAGAGAGAAGTAATGGAATAGAAAAAGAGAAAATAGTAAGAAAGTATTATGTAGAGACTTTTAGAGAGAAAGAGGGAGGCAAGATGTAAAGAGAGAGGAGAAAGAGACACAATAATGGAAAGGTGTTGGGGAAAGAGAAAAAGAAAAGAGGGACAGAGATCAAGAGAGAAATGAGATATATTTTCTGAAGTAAAGATGAAAACAGAATATGATGGTGCACACAGATGAGAAGCAAGTATAGTATCAAGAACTTTTAGTGTAGATGAGTCAGAAGCTGAGTCTCTGGTCACAGCTAGTTCTCTTTAAACAAATCAAATCCAGAAAGGGATCTTGTCCAAACAGATGGTGATAGAGGGATGGTTATCTCATGATAATTAGTCAATCTGGACTGATCTCCATCTCACAAGCAGACCCCTCTCTCTCTCTAGAAGGCCCGTCTCCATTAGCCTCAGTTTTCGAAACAGCCCCCTCATTCAGACTGGGGAGAAATTACGGGACCAGGGGGGGGGGGGGGGGGGGTTCACAAAGATCCTAAGTCGAACTTAACTCTAAGTTGGACTTAACAATATGGAGAGCCAGTTGTAGCCTTAAAATAAATATATCGAAAGCGAAAATAAATATGTTAAAAGTGAAAATTGAAGTATTTTAGACTTTTCATAAATTCCACATCAAGAACATGAAATCTCCTTGATAATTGAAAATAAGAATGATTTGAATCAACATTTTTTGCCTTTTGAAATATGATATATCTTTTTACAAAATATTTTCATAGATGCTAACGGCTTTCCATAATCGTTAAGTCCAACTTAGAGATAATTTCAACTTAGGATCTTTGTGAAACAACCCCCTGAACTTAATTTAACTTTGAGATAATTTGAGTGAAAACTGGCTGCATGTATTCCACCATTTTGCTGGGGATATCAACTTGAGTTATTATCCCACGCAAAGGGGTTGTTTGTGAATTAGCTATTTGTCTAATTAGCGGGCTGTTTCACTGGTGAAGCTTCCACTCAGCATCTCAAGTTAATTTCTTAAGCAAGCAAGGGTTGCTTAACATAAAAATGTCATGGTCTAGTGGATACGTCACCGGACTGTGGATCACATGGTTCGCAATTCGAGTCTCATTGCGGCAGCACTAATGTCCTTGGGCAAGACAACTTGAGTTATTATTCCAATTAAACTATGGTTCGTTTGTGAAATAGCCCATTGTTTGTCCAATTAATGGGCTGATTCACTGATAAAGATGCAATAGGACTATTACACACTGCAGCTCAAGTCTATTCCTCAAGCGATCAAGGGTTACTTAAAGAGAAGGTTGAGTTCTGGGAAGAGGTGAAAAATAATTTGTGAGCTTTACTCATTCTTATTATGCAAGTGTGGAAGAACATCAGATAAGACATGTTCCCTGAAAAGCATGGCTCTTCAAATGCCTTCATATTCTAAATATGCATGTAACATCGTAAAAATCGGGGGGCCGGCTTTTTACGCCACGTGTTCGTGTAGTCCCATATACATCTTTCGGTGTACAGTGTTTGTAACTTTACCAAGACTTGGCCAAATTTCTTATCATTTTGATGATTCCAGAACCTTGCAATACACACAAATTCTTATATGCTAGATGATCAACCTTTTCTGGTCAGTTCCACATCGTTTCTTTCACAATGCAATCGCATGACCAGAACTCAACTTCATCTTTAACATAAAAATGTTGTGGTCTAGTGAATATGTAACTGGACTGATGATCACATCGTTCGTGGTGCGGGTCCAGTCGCATCGCTAATGTCCTTGGGCAAGACATTGATCTACATTCGCCACTCTCCACCCAGGTGTTAAATGGATACCGGTAGGATGTGAACGTTGATGTGGTTGGATTGGGATGTGTGTGCTTGTAAAATGGCACCTGGCCAGAATACTCCCCAGGGAGCAGAAAGTATGCTCTATCATGTGCGGATTAGCAATTGAATCAAATAACCAGGGTAATAATAAATAGAATATAAAGCTCTTTACAAATATGACTATTATTATCATTATTATTGACTCAAACACTTGAAAATGAAC